ATCTTCCTGTTTAGCTTGCGTATATATTACAATTATGTATCCATTTATGAAAACAGACGAAGAGGTTTTTAGCTGATCATTTTCCTAATTTAGAAACAGAGAACATTAGTGTAGAGTCAAGTAAATTCTCAGGTTTCGAAATTTCATCTTCCTGTTTAGCTCGCGTATATTTTACCATAATGTATCCATTTATGAAAACAGAGGAGGAAGAGTTTTCCATCTAATCATTTTCCCAATTTAGAAACACAGAATTAGAGCTGTGGATGGTCGAATCACAGATAAATAGCACGTTTCACGAGGCACGCGGGGATAGACATTCAAAAGAATATTCTAGTCATTCGTCCCCGTCCCATATTCACCCAATTCCGCGGCACAGCGGCTGGAATGAACGATGCCGGCATTCGTGTTCATGTTTAGAGGCATAATCACGATACCGGAAGTCCACGTCGCCGCAAAACGGAGCTAATAATTCTTCGAATAAATACGGATCACCTGCGAGGGGAAAGTTGCCGTGGTACGTGCGGAGCACCGGCATAGCCGGTTTCACGATCAATTCCGGTCACGAGCTGTGCAATCATCCTGTGTCACAGTCCTGGGATTATTCGGACCGGGGACATTTCTTGCTTACTCCCAGGTACGTCGGATCCGGCGTCGGCGGGCGGGGTCGGTACCGGCAATTACCGATCGTTACTGACGTACTACATTTGCCGTGCGTCATATGTCCGGCAGTGTTTGCTGGACTGTTACGAGTTTTCGACGCGGCTCGGAATTGCTACTGTGTACGATAGTCGGTGCCCTCCCTAACTTTTCCATGGATAAACTATGGCCGGACGCTATAGGGCTTGAACTTGATTTACACCGATTCGATGACTCTTGGTAAATAGGAAGGAGAGGAGAGGAATGGCGAGAAGATAGTGAAATGTTCGGCAAATAAAAGAAAAGCTTGGAATTGATACTTGCGTACGCTAGTTAGTTCTCTTGCTAACTTTTCAGGGATAAACTATGGCCGAACGTTTTAAGCTTGAACTTGATTTACACTAATTCGATGACAGTAAATAGGAAGCAAAGAGGAGGAATGGCGAGAAGATAGTGAAATGTTCGGCAAATAAAAGGGAAGCTTTGAATTGATATTTGCGTACGCTAGTTGGTTCTCTTGCTAACTTTTCATAGGTGAACTGTACAACTTTGAAAGAGACCAAATGATTTCCATCGATGAATTTTGGTAACTGGAAAGGCAATAAGAGGAATAGAGGAAATATAGAAAAATATTTGGTAAATAGAAAGAACGCTTGGAACTAGCATTGTGTACTGTAGTTGGCCCGTTTGTTAAATTTCCATGGGTAAACTATAACGCTCTGAATGGAATTGAACTGTGTTTGCATCAGTTCGATGAATTGCAACGAAAAAAAAGAACACGAGGAAATACAGGAAAGATAATAAAATATTCCATAAATAGGAGAAACTAATTACCAGATAAGTGTTGCATCTACAAATTCTGCAGCAATGAAGGCGACTAAGTAATCCCTAGCTTCGATCTCGATTAGGTAGAATTCTACGAGCGCTTCTACGTTAAATACAAGACAATGCGTTACCCTGACAAATGGTGACTCCATAAATTCAAGGGAAATAAATGCTGCTGACTTGACCCCCACGAGTGTTATCGCCGAAGGATCTGAGAATTTCGGTTAGATCTGGGTTAGGCTGAATTCGCCGAATACTCCTCGGCTACGTAAAAAGCAAACTTATCGCGATCGCTAATTCAAACGACTGTAATAAATCCCGAAGAAATCAATTTTATCACGTCCCTCGTGCCAGTTATTAATCATGAATTCGAAAGCTAAAGATAATCTCGAATCCAATAACTCCATCGATTTTGCAAATAAAGAGAATCTAATATTCCACTTCAATTATGTCTTATAAAAGTTCCTTAACAATTCAAACACTTCTACAATAATCCCTGTTCCATCGACAGAAACTCCAACGGACAAACGAATCACGCTGTAAATTACACAACAGCGATCCGAATTAATAAATCGGTACCGGTATCCGATGAAAAGTCATGCTTCGCTATCGCGCTGATTAAAATATACGCGGACAGCATTGCGCGAAACACGGTCGCGATGGAGAAGAATGTTTTTTCTAATATTTTCAATGGCGCTTTTGAATTACAGCCTGCTAAAGGGCCGACAGAGACGCGGCGAACGAGAATTTAACGACCGCCGTGAAATAGATACCGATTATTGGCAATGGATAGAAAATACTGACTAACGGCGGCACACGTAACGCTCGCGCAGTAGTTACTGACCGTAATAGACAGACAATGGTAGCCGGCAGGGTTGGATATTACAGAGAAGTGAATGGTGACCGTCGCGAGCAGACAGCGCTTATTTGTTCCCGGCAGGAACAATATCAGGTACCTTGTCTCGAAGAAGTCGCCGGTACAGCGGGCAATAGTTGCGAATTATTGTACACACCTCCGGGCAATTAATTAAAATCCCGACCTAGAACCGGCCATATTTCTCCGGACAATGCCGAAGCGGAGGAAGTGAATTACTCGGCTTGTTACCGGCGATTTTTATTGGAGGGAAGCGTCTTCCGTTTCCCGGAGAATAAATGTTGAAACTTCGATCCGCGATAAGAACGATCCCAAGAAATCGCCGGGAAAATTGTTATGGCTTTATTCCGTGCGCTCTTTTATTTACGGCGTACACGGCGCGAAATTGTTTCCTACGTTCACGGATGCTCGCCGCACATCCGTCCGGCGCAACGATTTCCTACGTGCAACCTCGGGAAACGACGTAATCCTGACCGAAAGAATTTTTTAACGGGCTCGAATCGAGAGTTCGACTTCCGGACTTTCCAAGTTTATCTTCCATTCCCGCTGATTGCCCGTTTTAATCCCCTTGAAACAGCACTCGATGAGCTTCCGTGCCCCCGAAAAAAAAAAATCTGGAGAGCCCGTTCTATTGTGCAATTAAAGACACATTTTAATTCGATGTCCAAACAGAAGTCTTCGAGCATGAAGCTCGTTCATAAAAATACGCGGATGGAAATGGCCGCTTTTCGGAATAGATTACGCGAGTTCTGTACTCTGTAAAAACATGAAGTGGGTACTTATCCCATTCGGAAATTCCGGCTGTACTCTCCTTAAATTCATTCGAACGGAACAACGAATTTCGGAGTTTCCCCGTCGCGGGATTATTAAAGCCGGGCGTGGTTCCATCGGAAATTATTGAATAAATTTGCGGACTCGCCGGTGTCCCAGAATTTAATATACAAATGTAAGCGATAAATTCTATATTCCCCAATTGCTATAAATCTTAACAATCATAGCACAGTGGCGGAGTCACGGTTGTTGTCAACAATACTTCCACGAAGCTAACTAATCCTTTATCTCCGAGTACACACACTTCCCAACATATTCCTCCGTATCACAGTAATCCCAATTTCTCCGGTACCTCTTTCTAATCTCGCATTTCCCTCAAAACTTCCTGAAACCTCTAACATTCACACCTACAGAATACACGTTCCGTGCCACGGAAACTTCGGTTATATTTTGCTCATGAACTGTATCGAGTTTTTCAATAAAATAAGTTATATTCGAGTTTCTGGTCGTTTTTATATATTTTGATATTGCTTCTTCGTGTTTTCACTGCTTTGCAACGTACACCGCCGACCGTGACCATATATCCATTAAAAATATTGTAGCATCTAGAATTTTTAGCGTAGGTTAAAGTATTTTTAAGAAGAGTGAATGTTTTCATTAGAAATACTCAATATTTTTTAATCCAATACCAACGACATACTTTCAAACTGACTTAACGAGAAATGGTACATAATTTAAAGAAAGAGGCTGTTTTATTTTAATATTTTACACGTCGTTGCATTGTACAAAGTTTAATATTAAATGTCGAACTCTAAAATTTTGCTGTGTCAAATCAATTGGCGACTGAGAGGCGCCTGCGGAGTGCAAAGGGTTAAATACATATATTTATTCCTAGTTCTCGATTGTTCAAGATCCACTCTTTCATTATCTATAATATAATAACACTATAATATTTTCTAACAAACATTGGCCTGTACCATATGTGGTAACATGTTAACCCTTTGCACTCAAGAGGTGACTCTCATCACTTGATTTGACAGAGTAAAACTATAGAATGTGATATTTAACCCTTTGCATTCCAGAGGCGCCTCTAAGTCACCAAATGATTTGACACAGCAAAACTGTAAACTTTCATATTTAATATTAAACTTTGTATAATGCATCAGTGTACGAAATACTGAAAGAAAATATTTCTCTTCCTCAGTGCATGTGATATTCCTTAATTCAGTCGAAGGAAATGAAATCTGTATCTCATTAGAAAATATTGAATATTTCCGGTGAAAAACTTCTGGAGCGCAAAGGATTAATGCGATACGTGAAACATTGGAATAAAACAGCTTTGTTCCTCAATGTACTGGTGATTTTGAATTAGTTCCAAAGAACATCTTCTCGTAAAGGAATGAAATATTTCTAGTAAGAAACATCCGAGTTCAAAGGGTTAATAACGTAACTAAGTTGATAATATAAACATTGTAACGCGTTAAGAAACTTCTTTTACAAGAAATGTAGACTCAAATTTGTATATTTAGATTTCTCTGCCGAGGAATGTAGACATAGAATATACTGATTTCTCTTCGAATTAATTCCAAAGAACATCTTCTCGTAAAGGAATGAAATATTTCCAGTAAGAAACATCCGAGTGCAAAGTGTTAACCAACCTCCAAACCATAAAACTTATTGCAATCCATACCACGCGAAACACATCATCAGAGTACGTATTCGTTCGAAACCCGATCCCCGTAGCTTCCCAAAATGATCCAGCAACAGGATCCACGGACACGCGTCATCCTCAGGCTACTATCGTGTACGTTGCAGTCGACGGCCGCTCGACTGCTGTATCCGGCCGCGGGCGACGGATCATTCCTGTTAACGAGTCTTTTTGCCGGGCCCGCAGGTGTCGTGGATCAAGTGGAAGGAGGTCCAGAAGTTACTGACCGTCGGTCTGAAAACGTACGCCAACGACGAGCGGTTCCAGGCGACTCATTTCCACCACAGCGAGGATTGGACGCTCCAAATAAAATACGTTCAGTCGAGGGACGCCGGATTGTACCAGTGCCAAGTGTCTACCCATCCGCCCACCAG